TTCTAGTGTCCTTCTGCTGAGTCTACAGTGCTGTGTAGGCTCCATTTCATCAGGCTCCACAGTCTTCTCTTTCTGGAAAGCATTCATTTAGTGAGCAACTGGGAGGAAATTAAACTCACTCCCTTTTGGCATGTGACTTTTGTCTGGACCAGTCTGCTTGCTGTGACAAGACTTAGATAAAAGTGCTTGGCTGTCACCCCCTGATGCTCAAGGTTTTTGGGGGACTGAACCAATTATATGGAAGCAACACACTTGGGAGTTAAGGGCAGGCAGTAGTCGCTAAATTTGGGGCAGTATCACGGGTTTGTAAGATCGTTTTACTTGAGAAAGCAGGCCCAGCTTAGTCACAAAGTCATTGTTCCATAGAATCTCTGCAAAAGGCGAGGCACTACAAGGTCTCCAAGTTTAACTCCTGGATAGAGAAACTAGGCTCAGAGAGAAGTCCTGCCTAAGGCCAATGGTAATCAAGGACCTGATGTAAAAGCACCTGATGTACGTCAGCCACCACACTAGACATCTAGAATGAATAGCCAGAAGATTAAGCCACAGTCCTGCTCTTAAGGCTCCTGTGATCTGGCTGAGGGGATAGACTTATCAGCAGGTAACTGACAGAAGAGGCCAAAGCCCTGTGCGGAGCAAAGTGCTAGGGGATTGGGGGGGCACCAGAAGAAAATCAGACAGTTGTAGCCTCAGGGACTGGGGAAGGTGTGGTGAGTTGGACAATGGCTCCCTCAAAGGTGTCCAGGGTCCACTTCCCAACCTGTAATGATTTTACCTCACATGACAAAACAGGCTTTGGAAAATGAGATTAAGTTAAGGATCTTGAAATGGACAGATAACCCTGGGTTATCAATGTAATTACAGTCTCCATGAGGCGGGAGGCAAAACGGCCTAAGTCAGAGGTGACAGAAGCAGAGACCAGACAGAATAAGACAGTTCCACTGGGTGTGGCACCTTTAACCCCAGCACGATCTACATAATGAGATCCAGGCCGGCCAGGAAGACCCTGTCTCAAAAAACCAAATGAATAAATAAATGAATAAATAAATAAATAAATAAATGGTTTAAAAGAAGGATCTGAAGATGCTAAGCTATGTTGGAGGAAGAGGCTATGCACCAAGGAACAATGATTCTTCCTATGGCCTTTTCAAGGGACAAAGCTCTGCCAACATCTCGGCGTTAGCCCAATAAGGCTCACTTCTAATTCTTGACTCCCAGAACTGTAAGAAAACATATCTGTGCTGTTTTTGTTATTACTTATTACAGCATTCATGGGCAACTCATACAAGAGATTTCACCAGACATCATGCAGTAGAATTGGAATGTGCTCTGTCAAAAGGGGCAAGCAGCTGACCAGGGTAAGGGCTCAGGATGTTAGGAAACAGGGAGAAGTGTGGCATGCCTACAGGTGAGGGAGTATGGAAGGCTCAGGAGGTCTTGTAGCACTGGTCTTGTGACTGGAGAGGGCGTGGACAGCAAGCACACACAAGCCTACAGCAAGGTAAGCTAGCCATAAGTATTAGAAAATACCCCACCTCTGCTTAGGCAACAGGAACCCATAGCCCACTTGGCTGTAGATGTTTTCTGGCAGACTGGGAAATAAATTCTAAGCATTTTTGCACCCTGAGGCTTTTGCTGTAAGATATGCTGTATCTTTCTTCATATTGTATGTTTCCAGAATCAAATACAGTCACATCTATAAGTGAGAAGAGTACTTGGCTTTTCTAGAGAGTCATTGGACTGGCTTGCTCTGACTCTTAAGGTGCACTTCTGCCACAGAGCTTAAGCAGAGCAGGGCTCAGAGGCTGCAGCCTAGAACACGAGGGCTCCATTGTACAACACGGGACAGATGGAGCTGAAAACCTAGATAAATGTTCTTCACAGGGCTCCTCCTGGACACCCAGTGTCCTCATCAGACACCTCCTCATGGACTAGCATCTATGACTCAGGGCAGTGCCTTGAGCTTTACCGCTGTCTTCCTTGTAATCAAATCCAAGACCACACAGTCCTGGCATCACTCAGTGGGAAAGGAGACACTAGTTTTCTTTCCCCCTGCTGAGCATTCCCAAACTCTTAAACTGAGCAGCTAGCCACGGCTTCCAGACATTTCTCTACCCTGGCCTGTTAGATAGTTTAAGTGAAACAAATCATTCAGTGCTGTAGTTCCAAACCAGCTGGGATCTGCGGGTCCTGCTGCACACCTGGTAGGGTTAGGTATCTAGAGAAAAATGATCAGTGAGACCCAGTCCCTGCCACCCCATGTTGACAGGGAAGGCATAAGACAGGGGAAGGTCTTTATTACCCCTTCCCAAAGTATCTATTTGGTGAAAGTAAGCTTCCAGACTCAAAGTGATAAGTGGGTCATTCAAGGCTTGGGGAGGCCCCTGAGACACACTTAAATGCTTAAATGACACGCTTTAGACAGCTGTCTATACAGCTTCTGCCTGAGGTAACTCTGACTGGTCTCAGGCCTGGTGCCCTTCCCCCAACTGCCAAGCACAGAGGGTATGGCTGTGAGTCATTTCAGATTCTCCAGGCAGCTCTTCGGCCTTGGGTAACCTAAGCCATCACTCCAAGCTTGAGTTACCTCATCTGTGCCTAAAAGGGGACACAGGGCACAGTATCCAGAAAGGTGCCAACAAACTGTAGGCACTTTACAAACACTAGAATCAAATTCTTAGCCCATACTATAGTCAACAAGAGCCAAACAGGATAAAAGTCAGACTCTCTCATTTCCTTCTGGAAAATAAACCTTGGTCCTACTGAATATTTTGTCTAATTGCTTATGGCTGGTGCTCTGAGTTTTAGTATAAAAGAGAGGAAGGCTAGGAATGATCCCCACACCTTTTAATTTCTTTAATTGGGGGTGCAGGAGACTCCAATTAGAGCTGTGGCACCACACGAATCACAGCAGTAGGCCCCTCGGGTTGCCCTCCTGCTGAGAGCAAAGCTCAGAAGGGCACAGGCAGCAAGGGGTTACCCTTCAGAGCAAACACTCGTCCCGAGTCACTGTACATTAAAGAGCAAGGCACCAGGGGACAAGCTGGAGGGTGACAGCTGCTCTCATTAGCAGTTTGCCTCCCTAATTTTTTCCCTTCTGGTCTTTGGTTGAAAGAACGAATGAAAGAAGGTAGGAAGGGAGGGAGGGAGGGAGGGAGGGAG